ACATTAAAGTGATGCCAAACCCCTGAATGAATCTACATAGAGCATGCTAGCAACTACTGGACACTCAGCTAACAAGTTATGATTACATGGTACTATGCAAAACAATGCATAGCATGGCCAAATCAATGAAAAACAGAGCTACGCATGCTACAAACAAGCCTAAAAGCTTCATGGAGTTTGGATTGGCCCAAATATCATTGCGCTAAAAGCACATTGTTAACAACATGATCATGCTAAGGCAAGCAAATCATGGAAGATTACAAGACAAGGTTATGAAGCATACATGGCATGTCTAAATCAACTCAAAACAGAGGTGTATCATGGAAAACAAAGCCTAATATATGCTGAATGGAGCTAAAACAGCTAGGTAAATGCATCTATCATAACATTTATGCAAGCCTTTAAAGACAACAAGGAGGGGATAATCAACCTCCAGCTATTTCAGGAACTCAAAACCACCTCCTCTAACACTGGAAAATCCTCTGATTTTCAGTGGTAGAGAGGTCATGCAAAGACAAAAATGGCCAAAGAGGTATGGCCTAAAAGGCCCTAAACAAGGCCTTGGGGGGAGGGGAGACAACCCCAAACTTCAAAGTGACCTTAAAAAAGTTCTAAACACACAAATCATAACTTTTATCAGTTATAGTCGGTAAACAATAGCAAGCACTGTTAGCTAAGGAAGCTTAGTGAAAAAATGGGGGGAATAAAAAGTATGTTCTCACTTTGAAGACCTCTCCAAGACTACCCACACCTTCTTCCTTGGATCAAACCAGGCCCAAGACCTAATAACAACTCCTGGAGCCTTCAGCAACCAAGGATGGTGATATACACTAGGTGTTTGTGTATGCAATAGTGTAGAACAAAAGTCACTTTAGAGCACCAAAACAACCACAAAGGCAAAGAGAGGGAATTTAGAGATAGATATGATACAAACTTCCTAACCCTAATTCTCTGAACCTGAGGAGAGAGGAGGGGCTCCTTCTTTATAGAGGTTCAAATCCTCAAGCTTGGAAGAGTTAACAAGAGCAGCAATATCCCTCCCATACACGTGTATGGAGGGGGAAATGTGGATGCCAGCTGTGACAACTAGCATAAAATATTTGCAGTCAATCAGAGAAGGCAAAAGGGTCGGCTTGGAAAATATGGCTGATGACCAAACAAAAATGGCCGAACCACCTAACAAACTTGCCGATCGACCAAAATATTTGGCCGGTTGCAAGAAAAGAGGGCTGGTGGCCTCAAGCCAAGGCCGTGAGATGTGGGGGATGGCCAACTAAGCCATTTCCTGCCCTCAGAAGTAAAAACAAAGTGTTTGGTTAACAACAAGCACAAAACAAACAAGTCGAGAGGTCTTGAGGCAAGGCGCGCACCAAAGCCTCCGAGAACTCAAGGCGAACACGAACATAAATGGGGAATGCGATCGAGGGTGTATCACACAACGAGGTGAACGTACAAGCTCTTAAGAGACAGTAAAAAATGGGGTGTCTTTAAAGTTGCCCCTTTTTGTCAGAACTTCTGAAGTCATAACAATAGACTAGAGGAGATAATGTCAAAACCCAAAGACGACCAATTTCTGACAAGGCGAAGACTTAGACAAACATGCAAGATTAGCAGAGATAATTGTAGCCCTTGATACGGAGTCGGGCAAGTATGCATAAGAACAAACATGATGCCGACATAACTTATGATCTAATGCAAAGAGGTGCTGTAACGAAGCAAAATACATAGAATGCAACAGTTTTAAGCAGGCTAAAACCAACTACATTACTGTAATAGAGAGTATTCAATCATAATTTTACATTCCTCTCCGTGTTAGTGCTTGGTTTTAGCCTGCTTAAAACTGTTGCAAATTATATGCTATTTTGCTTCGTTACAGCCTTTTGCATGTCATAAGTTATGTTCTCGGCATCATGTTTGTTCTTTGCATCTTGCCCTGCCTACGCGCACATATCTGCTATCTTGCATTTGTCTAAGTCTTCGGCCTTGTCAGTGAAATGGGTGTCTTTGGGTTTGACATTCACTTCCTGTCTTTGTTATGACTTTCGAGTTCTGACAAAAAGGGCAACTGAGACACCCCATTTTTTACTGTCCTTAAGACTTGTACGTCATGTTTGAACACTCATTGATCATCCCATTGTTCGTTGTTCGCCTTGAGTTCTCGGACGGCTTGGTTGCGCGCTTGCCTACAAGACTCTCTCGCACTTGTTTGTTTTGTGCTTTTGGTTGTAATACCAAACACTTGTGCCTCTTTTATCTTCATGAGGGACTAGGAAATGGTTGTTGGACATTCCAATCGCACATTCTCACCGGCCTTGGCTTGAGGCCACCAGCCCTCTTTTCTTGCAATACCGGCCAAATATTTTCTGGTTGCAAGATACCTCGAGCAACTGTTTTTATGCGTGTCGGCCATTTTGTTGGTCAATCAGCCATATTTTCCGCCGACCCCTTTCCATCTGCATCTGCAAATATTTTTTGCTAGTTTGTACACAGCTGGCATCTCACATTTCCCCTCCATACACGTGTTATAGGGGATTTTCTCTTGTTTAACTCTCTCTTGAAGCTTGAGGATATATGAAACCTCTATAAAGAAGGGCCCCTCCTCTCTCCTCCAGGTTCAGAGAATTAGGGTTAGGAGTTTGTATCTATCTATCTCTATAATTCCCTCTCTTTGCCTTTTGTGTGTGTTTTGTGCTCTAAATGACTTTTTGTTCACACTATTGCACACAAACACCTAGTGTTACACCATCCTTGATTGCTGAGGCTCTAAGGAGTTTATTAGGGTCTTGGGCTGGTTTGATCCAAGGAAGTGCTGGGTAGTGTTCTTGGAGAGGTTCTGTATCAAAGGATAAAAATACTTTGTTTTATTCCGCATTTGGCTCTGCACAAGCATTTTATAGCTCATCTCTGATATGTTTTAAGCTTTGACATAATAATATATGTAAATGTTATGATTTTGTGTGTTTAGAATCGTTGTTAAGGTCCTTTGAAGTGTTGGGTTGGTCTCCCCCTAATGATCTGATCATCACCCAATGTGACTTCAGGCTTACGGCGCTTGTTTTGTAGGCCAATCACCTTTTGGCCATTTTTTTTGTCTTTGCATGACCTCTCTACCACTGAAATCCAGAGATTTTCAGTTGTTAAGAGGTGGTGTTTGAGGTCCTGAAAAGGGAAGCCAAGAGTCATACCCTCCATCTCTTAGTTGTCTTGGTTATAAGAGCCTCGCAATAAATGGCTTCACTGTATGTCAATGCATGTTTCTACTTGTTTTAGCTCATTTTCAGCATATATTTACGGCTTTGTTTTGCCATGATACACCTCTGTTTTGAGTGATTTAGACATGCCACTGTATGCTTCATAACACTTTAGTCTTGGTAATCTTCCATGATATTTGGCCTTACGCATAGCATTCATGTTGAACAGTGCTTTTCGCATGATTTTGGCGCACAAACCTCCATGAAAGTTTTAGCTTAAGTCACCGTAGCATGACTTAAGCTTCTTTTTTCGGCATTGATATTGGCCAGGGTGGGCTGTGACATTGTTGCATTGCTACCACTGTAATCTACTCTGTTGCTTTGAGTTTCAAGTTGCTAGCATTGCCCTTATTATGTAGTGTCATTTCAGGGGTTTGGCATCACTTATAATGTTATTTCAGTCCATATTTCATGCTTATGAACTTACATTTATCACTCCTTTAATGTCTTAAAGAGTTTGTGTTTTATGTCTCAATTGGACTTGTAAATTATTATTTCAGTTTTTCTATGTTCTTTTTCTTTGTGTTGATGAGTGTATTAGATTTAGGAAGCTGGTGAAATGCATCTAGTTGATATTTATGATATGTTATTGGATAATGCTATAAATCATTGGTTTTTGTTTCAATTTTGTTTCAATATGCTCCGTCCATCACTTTTTGTTAGAATTTGGAATGGAAAAAGAGTACTTGCAAAGCTATAGGGACATTTGAATTCTACTTTGGTCCTCCTAATTTTGCACATGATTTCATCTTCCGTTCATAATGTTAATAATGAATGACGGAGGGACCACATTGCAATAAAATTGAAAATGTAAGGGTCAAATTGAAATTACGAAGATTAAAGTAACACTTTGCTTAAATTATAGGGACATGGTATAATTTACACTAAAAATAAATTTCATAAAATGAAAAAAATAATAAATATATATGCATATTCATATAATAATAATAATAACAAAAATCAAGTACATCTCAATTTAGTCTTATGTGTTTAAATGCCAATTCCATACTGTTAAAAATGGGAACTGATATGGATTAACTAGGCGGATCACGGGGCTGGTGTCCACCTCGAATCACATTATGCTTTAAGCTCGCTGTACTTTCAGCCAACGGCTAGAATGCCAGTGTTGGTCTTCTTCTATCTTTCTTGCTATCCTTTTGTTTTGTTTTGTTTTGTTTTTATTTTTTTTGTTTTGGTGCAGTGTTGTATCAGCGGAGATGAAATTATTGTGTTAGTTTTACAATGAAAACACGCATGTACATTGGCGACACTTCTAGCAGATTTCTTTTACCTATCAGAAAAAAAATATGTTAAAATATATTCTATGAATGGTCTTTTTCTGGAACTGTGCTTTTGCTTTACATATGAAAGATGGAAATTCTTTAAATGAACCATAGGAATAGATGATGATCAAATGTTTGCAGTATTTTCCATTGAAGTAAGCGTGGTAACATTGGTTTACCTTGACTCCATGCCTTGGCAGTTTCAAAGCCCAAATTGAAGCCTTGTATTTTTTATGTTGTCTTGGTTCTTGATCTTTGTCCTGTTTATTGTTTATTTCTAGTAGGATTGGGTTTTCACTGCCTTGCCATTTACTCTTTTGGCAGACTTATCTTTTCTGCATTCTGGCCTTATACTTTTTCTTCAATTATTTTGTTTTTAAGTATAGTGTCATTGAATTTGCAATATCCATGCTAACGAATTATATGAAATTGTTGTGACTTCTGAAGATAAGATAATGAATCATTTATGCTACTCACACAGTTATACTATTAGGCACCCCTTTACAAGTAACCCCAGGTCCTGAGCTTGGCATCAGCAGCTCATATGGTGAAATTCCAGCACCACATCTATTTGTGAGGCTTGGGTCAGAATTTCTCTTTTCGATGTTCTTTTCAATCTTTTTGATCTCCATTGAAAATCTATAGAATGCCTCTATAATTTGAGGATCATCTGACCAAGTTGAACAGTCTTGTCTTTCTCCAATATACTGCTCATCTGGTGAATGTGTTGATATTATTTCAAGCAGAGCCATAAATTGTGTTGCTTGGAACATACTTGGCAACGATGTTAAGAAGTACCCTTGTGGGTCAGCTACAAAATTTTCCCAGTCAGGATCTTCTTGTTGAGGCACTAGTCGTCTCATTAGTGGTGAGCGGTTTGGAACATAACCGCCATAGGGATACTGCCCAAAGTTGAGTGCAGCATGTTGTGCAGATACAAGCCATATGATGGTGGTGAGAATTTTGGTTAGATCATGTGGAGTAGACAGCGTGGGCCACCAAGTAGCATCTCGAACATCTGCATGGCCCACATTAATGGACTCATTGTACCAGGACTGCAGCTCCATGTCAGTGTGGATCAAATTTGCCTTTGGGTAGTAGCATTGTTGGGATCTGGGATCCCGCCCAAGACCTTATAGAAATCATTGCAAGCAGAAAAAACACACACCCCACACAAGGAGACACAATATTTTACGTGGTTCGGCCCAATGCCTACGTCCACGGAGAGTAACCGGTTATCACTATTACAATGAGGAGATTACAGAAAGATTACAATAGAGGAGGAGCTCACACTCTCCTCACTCAGCCACTCACCCGTCTCCCTCGCTCACACCGAGGGAGACGGTCTCTCCGCCTCACATCTCTCGCACTCTTTGGTTCACGGTTCTTCCTCACTCACTTACTCACACTTTGCTCTCTCTCTCAACCTCTATTTATACGCCAATGAGGGAGAGCCTCATTGGTCACCACCTGACCCTCTTCCACTCTCTAGTGGGGTTGGTAGAGTGGGAGAGCCACTTCCAGTGGGTTCTCGCACAAAGCCACGTATTCCCACCTCAACACCATTTTTAATTTTTTATTTTATTTTTTCTTTTAAAAAATATATATTTTTGGGGTCAATTTAGTTTACACACACGACCAAAAAAAAAAAAAAAAAAAAAAAGGAGGAAGAAGAAGGAAGAAGAACAAGGAAATAGTTTCAAAATTCACTGAACTGTAAACGAGCCCATTTTTAAGTATTGTTTTGTCACAAGACCCTAGAATTGGAGAGAGGATGGCCTCAATAAACAGCACAAAAATTAAATAGCAGAGGAAGACCATTAGAGCCTATATACATAAAGTTTGAACTCAGGCCTTAAGAGGAGGTGGCCATTTTTTGTTTTTTTTTTTTGGATCAAGAATGGACCCAAATTATGGTCTAGTCCAAGTAACTAGCAATTCAGCTCTAGGGTTATAACTAATGCATTCATGCCTTCTTCAACTCCTCAATTATGTTATTATCATTAGGTTGGGTCACGTCAAAGCTAATAACATCTTACACAAAATTATCAGGCTAGGTTTTAGCCCTTGGGTCAAGCACATTCACATGGAACACAAATTTGATTTCTCCACTAAGCTTAGCCACTGAAACAAACTGATCCATATAAACTGATAATCCAACACTCAACAGGTTAAGAACCCATGCATGCATGGAAACCATTCATAATAGCTGCTCACCGCCAGTGAGTGTGATGCACCCCTATCTTCAAGCTTCTTGATCCCCACATGCGATATACAATGAAGATAAATGCGATGGCTCGTGAGACACTCATATAATGCGGGAGGGTCATTGAACACTTCTTTACCGCAGGCAAATATTGCATGGAGATTTCTTGCCCGCCTACCGAGATTGCTGGCGCTTTGACCTCGAGGGCCTTCCAGCAGATCTAATAAGAAGTTTTTTTAATTTATCAAACTTCCATTTTTTTCTTCTTTCTGATTTGTAATAATTTATCAAAATGATTAGTTAAACTAACAGACTAATTAAATTCTATTACAGAGGGGTGCAACACCAGACCCAACACAAACCTCATGGACTCAGATTATTTTTGAGGACTACCCTTATGCAAATGATGGCCTCCTATCTGGTCTTGCTAATAAAAATCTGGTTTCTGAGTATGTAATTA